TTCAACAACTGAAAGCAAGGCAGTCTCGGTCGAATGTCCACTTCTGAAGCCAGATTGGTTGCTGTCCAGGAGGTTGTTCTGTGTGAGAAAGGCTGAGACTTGGTTGAACACAACTCGTTCAAGTGTTTTTGCAATGAAAGGTAAAAGGGAAACTTATTTTAAATGTTGAGGGAAAAACACTAGTGTGAAGTGATGTGTTAACGATGTGAGTGAGTGCAGATACAACAGCAGGAGAAATGGCTTGAAGGAGATGAGATGGAATAGGATAAAGTGGACAAGTAGTAGGATGATTGGAAAGGATGAGTTTAGAGACTTCTGCCTCAGAGAGTGGAGAGAAGCATGAAAACGAGTGTATTTTTTATATTTGTTTTATATATGTTTTATATATTTGTGTATATTTACCCTTAAATGGTACATATGAGTACCTTAAATGTACATATTTATACTTTAAAAGTACACATTAGTACCTAAAGTGTACGTATTAAAGGGTTAGTGTGACGAGTGGGGGTGGGGCCGAGAGTTGTGGGAACGGAGTGAGGCCGGTGCAGTAAATGCTAATGCATGCAATGCTAAATGCTGTTTTGTGTTTATTTTATTATTAAAGTTTTGTTTAAATATTCGCCGGTTCCCGCCTCCTTCTTCCCGATCTACAAACTGTGTTACAGTTAGTTCACCCAAAAATGAAAATGTTGTTATTAATTACTCACCCTCATGTTGTTCCAAACCTGTAAGACCTTTGTTCATCTTCGGAACACAAATGAAGATAGTTTTGGTGAAATCCGAGAGCTTTCTGACCCTGCATTTACAGCAATGCAACCAAAACGTTCAAACGGCCCAGTAAGGACATTGCTAAAATAGTCCATGTGACATCAGTGGTTCAACAGTAAGTGTGAAGCTACAAGAATACTATTTGTGCACAAAGAAAACAAAAATAATGATGTTAATCAACAATTTCTTCTGTTCCGCATCAGTCTCTGCATGCGTGTGGTACTGCTGTCACCGGTGTTCTAACGTAGAACCCAGATGCGCTGCGTCTTGTTTACAAGCAAAGGAATGCATACGCATGCATTGTGGTACTCTCGTCAACAAGACTGACCCGGAAGGGAAGAAATTGTTGAATAAAGTCATTATTTTTGTTTTCTTTGCACACAAAAAAGTGTTCTTTTTGTGTGCAAATTCTTTTTGACAGAATTTTTTAATTTTTGGTGAACAAACCCTTTAATAGCTTTTGAAAGGGTATTTATTTTGTACCTTTTTTGAGTTTAGGATAACATAAAATGCATTATTTAGAAAGGCAAAGACATTAATGCAAGAGAAAGGAGCTTTAAAAAAAGCTATCTGATGCAGACGGAAGGCCGTTAGTGTGATAAATCATGTGTGACACTGATCGGCTATAGAAGTAAATAGTACTTAACTGTCAGAGTAAAAACAAAGGCATAATATACCACAGACACATGAGCGTAGAGCTACGCAAATCACGTTACAGTTTCCTGTTGTGTGTGTATGACAGAGTGTGTTTGGAAGAAAATGTCAGTGTAGCTCTGAGACCCTGAACAGAACACACACTCATCTCATCACAACTGTAAGTATTGTTCTGTTATTATGACAAACACAAACCATACTGCATTTTGTTACTGGCCAGACTGAATGTCTTTGTTTTCTCATATAAACTACTGTAAAGTGTTTTGTCTTCGGCTAAATGTCTGATACAAATAGTGAGCTATAAAATATTCCAAACAAACTGACAGTGGTGGAGATGTGTTTGTAAGTTTGTGTGATATTTACAAACAGCTTGTTTTGATCAGTACAATTATATGGTCCTATATACATTTTTAATACTCCATTGTAGCGTGAAGTTTTGCGCATATGTTTCAGATGCCAAACTGACGTTTCTGATGTGCTGTTTGTAGTAATAATGGCATTGAATGATAAAAAGTTTAATTGCTAATAACATGAATAACCATTTGAAAAGAGATTTTTAGGTGTACTGGTATTTACATATAAATATTTGGGATTGTTTTTCAGATTTTTTAATGCAAAATTTTATTCTTATAATGTTTTTGCGTTTGGTAATGTTTGTAGACTACGTCTTATTACTCTTATTGCTGTAGACATGAAAGATTTCACAATGTTAGCCTTCTTAATGTAGAATATTAACAGATAGCCTATTATGTTTTATTATTGCGTTTAAGTCTATCTGTTCTGTAGGCCAAGGCCTCAATATGGACCGTTAATTGAATATTTAAAATTATTTGTTGTAGACAAGGTTGACTCTTGAAAACTGGATGAAGATTAATCCAAAGAATTTATGTGTTGTTCAGTTTTAGTGTTTTGTAGTTTTGTGTGATAAGCAGAATGTTTTTGAAGTTTTAACAGTTTTATGATACATTAAATGTTTACAAGGTTACATTGAATCAGTCAAATTGGATACTTTTTGTAAATGCCTTTTTGTATTTGCGACATTGAATTTAATTCATATGAGGTTACTGAGATACCATTATAAAAGTAAAAAATGTGCACAATTAAGTAACGGTAAACAAGCAGCAATTTTTCTTAACCTACATAAAACATAATTCACAAAATTAAACGATTTTACATTTATATTATATGTATTTTTATGTTAAACAGTAGAATATATCGCATAATGAATAGGCCTTAATTTAAAAAATTTGCAGGTACGGAATGCCGATATTTCTCTATTATTAGTTTGATACTGTCTGTGCAGGAAACAAAAACTGAGGACAACTTATGCGCATAACAGCAATGAATTATTTATTTTAATAGATCAACCCATCCACATTTTAATCCATCCACATTAATTGCAGTTTATCCAATTATTTTTCTATACATTGCCCACAAAAGTCAGACTTAAAAACTGTCATTGCATTAGATATAATAACAAATATAACATCAAAATATAAAAGCATGTGGCATCTGCGAACAAAATGCTGCTAGAGCTTTGCTCTTATCTTTTCTGATTCCTATAGCTAAAACACAGTGTTAGCAATGGCAAGGTCATAGGTTTGATTCCCAGGGGATGCATGAACCTGATCAAATGTATTCGAATGTAATCTATGTTGATTTGGATGACAGTCTGCCAAATGTATACCCTGGCTTTAAAATGCTATTGAGTGGCTGCATGAAGTAATTTCCCTTTAAGGTTACACAGGTGTCTTAGCAGATGAAACCACAGCTGTAGCTTATCACATTAACTCGCCTGACAACCTAAAAGCATCCAAATACTTCTATTCTTCATTTGAACAATAAATCTATTATAATATTATTTAATATAACTCATCAAATAGTTTGCTTGAAAATTGTGCTATTGAAAAAACAACAATGCAATTTAATGTAATATTTTGTTATCTAATGCAATGATATGTTTGGCTTAGGTGTCCAAATACATTATGAAAAATAAGTTACAATAGAAATACAAACGGATGCCCGATGAAAAAACAACAACTGTGCGTCATTGTCAGACATCGCTGTCTTCTGTTGAAGACCTAGTTTTGTTCTTTCTGAGGAAAACGTGCAAATAAAACATGGAAGACATACTTCACAACCACATTAATTTAAGTTTTTTTTTCAGGAGTCCAACATTGTAACACATTGCATCCCTCAAGTGAATAAAACATGCAAGCATGTCGAAGATGTCATGTAGGCATTCTATTTGTCAGCGTATACTATTGTACATGCAAATGTCTGGATATGGTTATCTTCCATGCATGCTTTTTATGACATGCTAATTTATTCTGAAAATATTATTATCATTCCAGCATGACTAACTTTATAGAAGTCTACTGACCCTGAGCAACAACAACAAAAAAACAGTGTTTTTAACAAGTAGTATTCAGAGGAACATGTAGTAGACACAACTAAAATGAAGCTTTATTACATTGTTGTCTCGTTCTGTCATGGCATGATAGACAGTTTGAGAAAAAAATCAATTTACATGCAAATCATCACTTTTGACCTCAGATGCAGTTAACGCCACACAGTGAAATCATTGACATATATTTTTAATAATCACCTTGGATTACACTTTATATTAAGGTGATTATTACAATGGAATTACACAAGCAAGTACTGAGTAACATACATATACTTACTATATAGGGTTAGGGTTGAGGTTTGGCTTAGGTAATTATGCATCATTTACTATAGCATATACATGTAACAAGGGTAATAATAACATCACCTTAAAATAAAGTGTTCCTCATCTTATGTTTGTAGTTATTGTAGATACAGCAGTATTAATGATGAAAGTGTAAAACAACAGATTATAACAGTGGGTTTTGTCTCTAGCCGTTTGCTGTCTAATTCAGCGGCCTGTAGTTGTGGAACGGCTCATAAAAACACTTGTAGGACAGACACAAAATGCTTCTAGACATACACTGAGATAATAAAAAAAAAACATTCTGGATCAAAATGATTAAATGAGCGCAGTCGTGAAATGTAATATCAGCTGTTTGCACACACCTTGCGTATACCAAATACCTTACAATGGGTAATTATGCACAAGACATACACAGCTTCAGTTTCTCAGACAAGGAATTGTTTGGTCACCGTCGAGATCTTTTGCTATCATGTTTTTCTGTCTATATGACCGATAACATAATAATATGCTCAATATAATACATTACAATTAAGATTATCCGTATGCACAGGAACAGAAAGTACAGTATGTTGTTTATCAGTTAATTAAAAATTATATACAATAAGCCATTAGCCAAATACATAAATACAGATATACATATACACAAAGTTCAATTATGGGCATACATGCATTTATGTCAGCTTATGAAAGAAGTTTGAACGACGTGTATATGCAGTATGCCATAAATGTACAATAATCTTTAATATAGCAGCAGTCCTACATTAACGTGCCGGTCATTAGATGTTTACACTGAAAAGTGAAGGAATCCGTGTGAATCAGTCAGACAAACTATGTGGAACAAGCCGTTAATCCACAAGGTGTAACATGTTTAGAGTATTCATTTCATTAAAACGTACAAAACTTTGAATTAATACCTTCTCATTTTATTATTTCAGTAGCTGAAACTTTAGTTATTTTGTGTTATCAAATGAAAGTCCTAATTGTTTTACAGTATTTTATGTACTCTTAAATAAAGTCACAGGACAACAACATGATCTCTTGATCGTCTGAGAATTCTGTCTGGCAAAAAACATCCTCCTCTGACTGTAAATGAGGAAATATAAGCCAGCAATTGTCTTGAAATCATTAAGTCAAGAGAATAAGATATAAACAGCAAACCAAGTGAGAAAAGGAAGAGCAAAATGTAATGCATTGTCAAGCATAGAACACGCGTTTCACAGATTCTGCATCATTGAATGTGGAATTAAACTAAGAATTATTATAAATGTGTTTGAATAGAAAACACCTTTTGGTGTGGTTCACTGTTACAATGGGTGACCCTTTATTTTCATTAATGCAGTACTTGACACATATTGTGAAACGGTGATTTTAACAAGTCTGAAAACAGAGTGCACCTGTGTTTGATTTTGGTGTTTGTGTGCTGCTGTTATGAAGGAGGGAGTGATTTTCATAATGAGAGCAGGATTCCCTCTTTCACAGTGTGTCATACAGACATTTTTCTCTATTTCTCATCCTCTCACTTCAGCTTTGTCCCACACATATACCACACATCTTGTCAGAGGGTTTTCCTACCTGACCCCAAGTTTTATTATGGAACAGAAAATGCAGTTCATTAGAAAGAAATTAGCATGTGGCTTTATGGATGGTCTGGGACTACTGTTAAGGGTGAGGTATTCAACAAGTTCTAGTTAGTACGGTTTTGAATGCATGTTTCATTGTTTTTAAACACCTCTCAGTTTGTCACACTCAGGATGACTAGTGATTTGTTCAGCTCAGTATACACTCTAAAAAATGCTGGGTTATTTCAACCCAACTTTGGGTCAAATATGTACTAACCCAACCGTTGCGTTAAATTTTTACATTAAAATTTTAACCCAAAATTTGGGTTAGTCCAAATTTGACCCAAAGTTGGGTTGAAATAACCCAGCAGTTTTTAGAGTGTAGTAAACAACCATCACCATATCCAAATGTGAATTGTAAAAAAAAAATAATATTTTCAATGTATACTCTGCATTCAGAGGAAAAAACTCCACGTGAGAATGAAAATGAGATCACATAAATATGACACAGCAGATGGCAGATTCCTGAAAATGAGTGTGACCTTTTTATAAGCAGTTCTGTGAAAATACATCAATAATAATAACAATGATTTGCAGACTTCAGCAGAAAAAACACAACATGCAAGAAATAAAATGACGTGAAAACAATTACGCAATGGAACAGAATCACGATCTGTACGGTGAGGTTTCGAAATTTGCCGTCTAAAATATGATCTAATCTTCTGTACATTAATCTAAAAATACCCATTTTCGTAAGCATCAGACCAAATGTCAGTAACCTCTCAGTCTCTCGACATCTCTTTCCACTGACATTTAGCCATGCTTGCACCTACAGGACTTCATTAAATGGAGGAGTTTTGTAAATGAAAACTCAAGAACGAAAGAGACTAATGCAATTTGTCTTTCTAAGTAATTTCCATTCACTTTTCCAAAACAGTTCGTCTACCATGTGAAACTCTTACTGTAGAAAACCAAAAGCAATGGCGTCCATCTTAGTCCTCTTCAGCGCTCTGCACACCTCAGACTTCTTCAACATTTCCTACGGCCCACAGTCTAAGCAGATGTGTGTGAATCACTTAAAAGTTTCTGAGGATTCAGATCTGTTCGAGGGATCCCCTCTTAGTCACATAACCATAGCGAATCTCTTACAATACATGCATACAATTCTCACTAATTTTAGCAGACCACACGAAGACTGTAGATAAAATGGCAACAAAGAAGAAAACTGCAGATTGTTCGCCCCAAAAATACCTTGATTCAAGTTACAAGGGTAAGATGTGTGGGAGACGAAGACAATATCAGTCTTCGGTTCTTCAGTCGAGTACACACCGAAATGACTTGCTGAAGGGGAAACACGTAACGAAAACCTGTATGGGACATATTGAAATAAATCGCCCACTTTTCCTGCACGCTTTCTTTCTTTGTCTCTTTCGGTAATGATTATGTTGGTGTCTCAACACCTTTTCAGTCTATGTGAGTAATGAGGGATCCCTCTAAAATGGGTCTTTCCTTTCAGCTCTGAGAGAAAAAAGATCGATACATAGTTGGATAGATAGACAAATAGATGTGAATGGTGATATAAAGAACTGTGTAAAGCTAAAGGGACTGTATTTTTTGAAGAAGACGAACAGAGCACGGCAGGAAGAGAGAGAATGACAGAGGGGTGAAACCTCAGACACAGATGTGAGGCAGGCAACGTGTTTGTTTCATCCTTCATGTGGTTCCCCTTAGCAAACCACTCCTGTCCTACAGCGCTGAAATATGCTCAGTACCTGGTGCTCTCTCGCGCTTTTCTTTAACGTACTTATTCTTCTACAGCAGGATGCTTTATTCGCCCTTAAACATGTTATAGTTTTAAATACTGATGCCACTGGAGAATCCACAAATAACTTTTTTTTTGTGTCTGGTCTTAAAAAAACCAGACAAGATCAATGATCTGGTGCTTACACCTGAATAACTGATGTAGAGATTTAGAGTTTCTTAATTTCCAAAGAATATGGCCAAAAAAACAAAGATAAACCTTACAGTGTTGGTTCTTGTTAAGAATGGTGTTCTTTGCCGAACACAAACGAATGACTGAAGTATCTTCATTTTTAAGAGTGCAGCTTGTTTAGATTGGTGTGTATGAAGACTTGTGAATCGCTTATGGGCTTCTAAATCCTCTGTAACGCAAATGTAACAACAAGCATAAGACTTATAAAACAATACATTTGTGCTTCTCTTTCACTAAAAACCACTTGGTTGACCAATGTATTCCATAAGCTTTCATTTCAGTATTTGTTTCATTTGTGTTCCTCTACGGAACCGCATTGGTTTACATCAGCAAATCTTATAGCAGAAGTGAAACATTACAGATAAACATTCTTTCAGGTGTTAAAAAAACAGCCAAGTTAACATATGGGATTTGTCCATTTTTAGAGGAAGTTGAGCTGTGATAAATTGCAGCATTTTAATAATATCAGAAACAATAATCCTCAGTTTATCCACGACATCGCTTCTTTAAAACGTATGACCTATATATGATCTATAGAGATCTATGATCTATATATGAATGCATTTAATCATTATTTGCCTCATAATATCTTATTACATAAGTATGCATTAAATGATAGATGGATTCAAAGAATTTACACTAAACAAGTTCACGAGTCGCATTTACACTTTCATATCTTTTTCAAATACCGTTTCTCGTTTCTGTTCTCCACACATTTTTTAAATGCTCGGAAAAATAACATAGATCAAGAAAATCTTTGTTGTAATTTAGAGTACTGGGCATTTTTGAATATTATTTGATTTCTCTATCAAATCAAATGTATCTGTGGACGTACAGTTATCCATTTTAAAGTCTGGATGTGGTGTTTTATGCTGATTTAGCAACACTGAGATTGTTTGTAAAGGTTACAGTGATTCAAGTTCTTAAACAAATTACACCATCTGTTCATACACTCTTAAAAATAAAGGTGCTTCAAAGGTTCTTCACAGCGATGCCATAGAAGAACCATTTTTGGTTCCAAAAATAACCGTTCAGTCAAAGGTTCTTTAAAGAACCATCTCTTTCTTACCTTTCTTGTAATCTGAAGAACCTTTTTTCGCCACAAAGAACCTTTTGTTAAACAGAAAGGCTCTTCAGATGTTAAAGGTTCTTTATGGAACCATTTAGACAAAAAGGTTCTTCTATGGCATCGTGAAGCACCTTTATATTTAAGAGTGTAGTGCAGTCGTTATACGTTGTAACATTCCACCCATATTTGCTCAAGCCGTATACGCACTCGGGGATTCAGATGAAGGTTGATATTAGAATAAAGGATCTCTTTGGATCTCTTTAAACAAAAAATAGATTAAACGAATGCATAAATGTAAGGACAATGGAACAACCCCCCAAAAAAACTAACAAACAATAAAACCCAGAGGAATAGAAAGAAATGTTTATTCTGTTGGGCTCGGAGGGTCAGCACTGATAAAGAAGTTCATTTGTAAAAAAAAAAGTGTTTTTAAATGGAGTAGATTAGATTATTATTAGAATTTATCAATAGCTCTGTAGCGATGCTCATGGTTACTAATAGGACACTGACATTTAAAAAAAAAAGTATATAGACAAGATAAAGTCAATTAATAATTTGGCAAACTAACAAAAACCCCCCCCCAAAAAAACAGACAAACTAAACATAAAACTACATAAATCTAGCAGTTCAAAAATAAAATAAAAGGTTAAATAAGTAAAATAAAGTGTTTCAGAGAATGTTAATCAAACACATCCGTTACGCAGACCAGAAAAACCTACTCAGAAAAAAACTTTTTTAAGTGTAACACAGCGATGTCTAATTTTTAAATGTATTATTGGAAAACGTAATATATTTTTTATTATTTTACTTAATTTATTAATTAATTTTATTTCATGATTGTCATTGAAACTTTTCCCACATGGATCTGACTATAAATTTCTATTATCTCTTATTATAAATTTATTATGACATTTTATATTGGTCTAATAATAATGTTTTGGAGGGAGAAACAATACGGTTAGAAAAGTAATTCTCATACACATTTGACAACTCGTTTGACAGTTCAAGATATTCAGTGGAAAAATGTAAAACATTTTTTTTTTTGTTAGAAATCGACTTAATCCAACAGCCTCATGTCAATAACCGGACGTCTTTTTTAACCTCTCAGGCCAATCAGACGGAGGGGAGGCGTCAACGAAGGTTAAATAGAAATATTTTGGCCTGTAAGTGAACACATCCGCTGCACGACTTTGAAGAGGAACGATAAAGACTTTTGCTCATAAGGTGAGTATATTTGCACATAAATGTACATTTAAATATACCGTTATCTACACATGGCAACTTTAATTATTTTTTTTGTATGGATGATTTCATTTAATCTGTTTATATGTCTTCTCAAGATCAGAATAGGGAATAAAATCCTTTTTAGTGTTGATCTTTTAAAACCTTTTTAAGTTGTATTACAAAAACTAAATGAATCTGCATTATTTACTGTGAATGAAGTCTGGAATACAGTACAAATTAATGGACAAATTACATAAAGAAAATTTGCACTTTTTATATTTTCGGTTCAGTTAATCGGACAGCATATATTGTAACATTGATAAAAATTGGTTCATGTTAAAGTTTCAAACAGAAACCTGAAAACCTTCCAATACACAATATATAACACTAGACATCAAATGTACGGGATGCAAAACAGAAATATATTCTCTTAGTTTATGCGATGCTGAGAGTATATGTGAAAATGAACAGAAGGACTGTCTTCGGCTCTATTATAACATGAACAATTAATCACATACAGGATATTAGAACATCAGTGTTTATATTTCCACTGTGTTTAGTTTGAACTAAACTGAGCATTAAAATAGCTTGGAATTCCATCAGAATAATTGATCATAATCTCTAAGATTTATAAAAAAAAAAACCCGAACATGAATGAAAATTAACATGCTTAATCCATTAAGTCCATTACTTTTTATTAAATGTTTTGTCAGGCATTTAGAAATTGAAGTTCTTGGTCTTACTAATGTTCCCCTCCCTTCTCCACCCTCACTGTGTGTCTGTTTGCTGTTTAACCTCCATCCTGACCACAGCCCTGATCATCTGTCTTTCTGGGTTACTTGTTCAGGTGCAGTCTCTGGCTGTCTTTATCTCTACATCTATCGTCTGTGTGGCTTTGTGTGCTTCTCCTTCCTCTGTTTCTGTTTCTCATTCTTCACAAACTTTTCCATCATTTCTTACACATTTCTGTGCTCCACTGGAGACTTAAAACTTAAAACTCGTAATATTACAATTTCCCCATTGGACATTTTTGTAATAAATGGCAGCAAAATCAAGGCAAATTTTAATTCTGAATCAGAGCAATAAAAATATGACTGAAACTATTATACATTTATGTCTCAAGTAATGGTTTTACATTTACTTTTATTAATTTAGCGGACGTTTTTATCCAAGGCGGCTTACATTCCCGGGATGCAACCACTGCTCATTGGGTGATGCTGATTTAATTTAACCGTTGATAACAGAATGTGTCTGAAAATGGCACTTTTTCATACTGAAATTCACCACTTTAAATTCAGTCAAATCATAGACGCATCAATAGCCTGTACCACGAGGCCCATGTGAATATTTAGTTCCCCACTCTGCATGAAAATGTATATTCCCTATATTGTGCATTATTGTGGATTATATGTTGTTGGATTTTTAGTACTTGTAATAAAAATTTAACTGGCATGAACAGAAAGTCACAAATGGTTCAGTATACTTTTGCGTGCTATATTGCTGCAAATTATGCTGCAGAAGTTACGTTTACTAAACATATTTACTATAAGAAAGCACATTTGTCACAAGAATGCACTACTTCATTTATCAATAAAGTGCGTGTAGCACAACATAGCTATATCTTGTTTTATTTTATACATAAATTAAATTATTCATCCTATGAATCTTGAGCCACTTTTTTCTTGGTGGCTCTTAGTGGTGGACAGACAAAAAACAACAACAACAACATAATTTTAAAACTTTTTTTTCATTAAAATACCTGTATAGGATTATTTGCCTATATGTGACCCTGGACCACAAAACCAGTCATAAGGGTAAATTTTTCGAAATTGTGATTTATACATCATCTGAAAGCTGAATAAATAAGCTTTCCATTGATGCATGGTTTGTGAGGACAATAGGACAATATTTGGCAGAGATACAACTATTTGAAAATCTGGAATCTGAGGGTGCAAAAAAATCAAAATATTGAGAAAATTATAAGTTGTCCAAATGAAGTTCTTAGCAATGCATATTACTAATCAAAAATTAAGTTTTAATATATTTACAGTAGGAAATTTACAAAATATCTTCATGGAACATGATCTTTACTTAATATCCTAATGTTTTTTTGCTTAAAAGAAAAATCAATCATTTTGCCCATACAACGTATTTTTGGCTATTGCTACAAATACACTCCAGAGACTTAAGACTGGTTTTGTGGTCCAGGGTCACATTTGGATTATTTCTAATGATTTTCCTAAGTGTGCGTTTATGTTTGAGCATTTGTATTTTAAAATAGTCATCATTTACATTTCTTTATGCATTTGTCAGATGATTAATCCAAAGCGACTTGCGTTGCATTTAAGTAGGCCTATATATTTGAACATTTCTTGCATTCCTTGGGAATTAAACCAAGACCTTGGCGTTACTATAGTTTAGGAATCTTTTTCTCGAAGAATATTGTGAATTAACATTAAAAAATAAATAAATACATAAAAAGGTTTACAGAGTAGAGTCACAAAGATACTGCGTATATACAGTATAAAACATTGTAACAAATCAATTAGATGTCTGCATTTTTCTAGTTTGAAGTGTCAATCTCTTCAAAAGGAGTGAAAAGAGAGATTTGTGTGAAGAAATCACATGCACAAAAAGAGAAAAAGGTAAGATCAGATATAACAGGCATAACACACACCGCACTCCAAGCACAGCGACACCACCAGCAGCACCATGTGGTGTTCTTTTTTCTGTGTGTAAGCGTGGAGAGATCCGCCTTTCGTGGAACAAGGGAGGAAGAGAGGGGGTGTTATGGAGGAGGTGAAGAGGTGAAAACGAGAGGGATAAGAATCTACTCCCTGTACAATCTCAGCCCACCACAGACACACCTCTTGGTGTCATTTTCTCGCCGTCTTTCTAGCTGTTGTTCTTTCATGTTTCTTCACTGACACTCGTCTTCCTTTATGTCTGTAACCCATAGCCCACCACAAAGCTTCTGTCTCCCACTCACTATCCGCCACTGTTTAAAAAAAAAAAATCTGAGCCCACCACAAGCCCCTTCCTTCCTCTGTATTTTTATGCTCTTTGTGATGCATTTCTCTATGGCTATGTCTTACAGATCACCCTCCATCTTCTCTGGCTCTGCTCTGAGGACAGAATGATGTTGCGTTGGGTACTAATATTGCTGTTTGTTGGATTTCTTAAAGCGCAAGGTAAGTTGCAAATATCTTGATAGTTGTTATATGACGAAGGGTATGAAATGCAGTCTGTATAAGCATTCTTTTTCTGTCCAATCTGTTCTTCTATCATCAGAAAACCCTGTGGTAATTTACGCACAAGTAGGAGGGACCGTTACCCTACCGATATACAGGGTAGAAGGAAATGCAGGTAATGTTTATGTGAACTGGTACCGCGGGTCAGACACAATCCCAACTATCACGAAGAATCCTCAGAGTGGGATCCAAAAGGGTGAGATGCATGTTTTTGAGTTCATGCATTTTCACTCTACAGTAATAATCAGGCTTTCATGTTTGTTATAACTGGACATGTATGTTTGTCTTTTTTAGCGAGAGAAATGAAGACACACGCTGATCTGTTGTCGGATTTCTCTCTCCAAATCTCACCAGTACAGCATTCTGATTTTGAAATTTGGCGCTGTGTACAACATGTATTAATAACTACTTCAGAAAAGACCTACAAACTGTACCATGGTAAGAGAGAGTGTATGTTTGAGAAACAAGAAGTAGAAAAAAGACTCAAATTATTTAGTCACATCATCTCTTAAAGGGATAGTTCACACAAAAATCTGTCACCCTCCTGTCTCTTTCTTCTGCGGAGCACAAAAGAATATATCTTGAAGAATGTTTTGAACTGTTTTTGTATATACAGTGAAAGTCACTGGGGTCCAAAAACAGCATTGGACCCCATTGACTTTCATTGTATGGGAAAAAAAAGAGAGAAAAAAACAAACATACAAAAATATTTCAAAATATCTTTTGTGTTCCACAGAAGAAAGAGTAGAAGAAGAGTAGTTTGAATAAATGATAAGAGAATTTTTAAGGGTTAACTATCCTGTTAAGTGCTCTCATTTAATTTCCCAAAAGTACAGGTGAGAAATAAAATTTGTATTTATAATACGTTTTTCAAATGTGAGGAAATGACACTACGCACACTGTTGAGCTTGTTTCAGGATGTGAACACAGAAGGAAATTTCCCCCTTTGTCATTCAGCTGAACTGCAAATAAATAAATAAATGAATAATAAATAAATAATGCATGACAACCTAATCTATTAATTTAAACTAATCATCTCCGTATTACACACATGAAGGCAATGAATTAATCATGTGTAATATGAGCACTAGAATTATATTAACCTAAATTCTGCACAGCATATTTGGCAGTATGAGCAGGAATACTCCAGTTACACACATACTCTTCATAATCAGTTACACACACAAACTTTGACATTATTGATATTTTGTAGTGTAGGCTAGAACGTTACACATTACATGATAAGATTCCTCTAACGTTGTCGTATTACACCTTTCAACATTTTTCTTCTCTGTTTCAGTCACTATCCCCAAAGTGCCGGCTGTGATGGCTGGTGACATTCTGTCTCTGGAATGTAAAGTGGACTCTAGTCCATTTAAACCCAGAGTAACATGGATTCCACCTCAAAACTCTTGTAATCAAATAAATAATTACGGCGAGAAAACTGAAGTCAGAGGTGTGTCTAGGTGTAATAGTGGTGTTTGGACATGCAAGTTGGAGTATGATGGGAGAAAAACTGAAGCAACAACAACTGTTTTTATAATAGGTGAGACTATTGTGTTATTACACTTTCTCTCTCTCTCTCGCTCTCTCTCTCTCTCTCTCCCAATGTATCTATTTACTTGAGTTTGTTCATTCTCAAAGCAATAAAGAATATAGGTCTACAATACACAAGAAACAATGAAATAAAAACAGAAAAAGGAATGTAGTGGATTAATGAGAGAGCACTGATAAAACCTTTTTTAATCTCATAACCCCAGCCTAAATATAAATATATAATATGCTAATATAGTTGCTGCAATTTATATAGGCCAGACTACTTTATTAAATAGTTCAAATGAATTTTCTTTTTCAAAAAGTGACAAAGTTAGATTTATTTAATCCATTCAATTTAGATATCCCTTCTAAAAAGAAAGAAAATGGTTGCTTTTTCATTTATTTTATATTATTTTCTTGACACAACAACAACAACAATAATAATAATGTTTCCTTTATTTTTATTTCTTTTCTTCCAGACCTCTCCCCTTTTGCAGATACCATTTATACCTCATATTCGTCCTCTACAGTCGACATTCCTTGTTCCTTGTATTCTAACATTCCCTGGTCAGTCTTGAAAGAATCTGGCCTCTGGGGTGGTAGCTGGAGCTTCACTCCTCTCAGCGACCCGAAGTCAACACAATCTCTCCTCAGCCTCAGCGTTGATCTGGTGGTCAGATGGAACATTACACAAGGCGCAAACAATACCATCAAGGTCAAGGGAAGAGAGTTGAAAGACCAGGATCTATCGATTCGTAATCTGCCTGTATCAGAGAACATCAGGGGGGTTTACACATGTGATCTAAAATTTAACACCAAGACCCTCAGCAGTGAAGTCACGGTGGAGGTTCTGAAGGGTAAGTGAACTGTAACTAATGAACAAACTACTAACTTAGCTACTTTCAGTCAGTAGTGTGAGAAAAAATATATAATAATGTAGTTTTCACAATAACGAGCTACGTTTTCCAACGAGGAATTTACTAAACGAAACATCGATGTTTGTTACATTGATACTCATGCTGTTCCGTGGCCTCCTAAACAAGTGGTATTCACTGAACGGATCTCTCACATGTAATGTCACGTGCTTTAGTACTGTTAAGTTTTATTAGTTTTCCCCACAACATCTACATTGCTTTCTCTTGTTGTTACAGTCATGAAAACATATTCGAGTGGGGGACTTTTTCGTTTTTTTCTTTATAATCAAATATTTTATTATATGCTAGGACAATATTTTTTAACTCCTAAGTGCATTAAAGTCTTGTACTTGTAATCTGTTTAAATTGAATGACAAATCGAGTCCTCCTTTGAAATTTGCTCTCCACCAAGTGCACTAGAACAAGTAAAAAACAAAAGATAAAATACCACTATCCTATATAAAATAAAGATTTTATTAGGTTATTAATATAACCGTTGTCACCTCAGAGTATTATTAAATGTTACTCAAAGTAAAACTTTAAGTGTTCCTTTAAATTATGAGTAACTTGTAGCTTGAAGTTGATTCCCCATCATTGGAATAAAGGATTACTGTGCATTAACTGTGGCTTGAAAAAGAGAGTGTTTGTTTTTGACACTTTTCGTACCGCATTTACAGTTAAAACGTAATTTTTGATTAGTAATATGCATTGCTAAGAACTTTATTTGGTCAACTGTAAAGGTGATTTTCTCAATATTTAGATTTTTTTTTGCATTTTTTGCCTCACAAACCATGCATCAATGGAAAGCTTATTTATTCAGCTTTCAGATGATGTATACATCTCAATTTCGAAAAATTGACCCTTATGACTGGTTTTGTGGTCCAGGGTCACATATATCTTGCCTTATTTAATCTAAACTCTCTACATTTCTCCTTCTATCAGTTTCCTCTTCTGGAGGAACTCGAGTATATGAAGGCCAAAGCGTGAATCTGACATGCACATTAGGACATCAACATAGCTCCGACTTCGAGGTGAAATGGAGCTGCTCGTCTTGCTCCTTTATTTCTAGTCTCAAGCCCCCTCATCCATCTTCCTTGTCCATCCCTGAAGTGAAAGTGAAGGACAGTGGGAGATGGACATGTGAACTCTGGAAAAACGGGAAGAAGCTGACATCTGCTGTGCTTTCATTAAAGATTGGTAAGAGAAGTGAAAGAAAGAGGGAGAGAGTGATACATGTGAAATAAAAAGTGTGTAACACTTCTGCTGTCAATAAAATGTTTTACAGTGAAAGCTCCAGTGGACATCTGGCTTTGTGTTGCCATCAGTGGTGGAGTCGTGGGCTTCATCTTGCTCCTAGTGATCGTCATTATATGCATTCGCAGACACAGACAGGTTAATGTTCACTTTGATACTCAGAGCGGTTTTATCCAGTTCAGCACACTAGGATGTCATTTGTAAAGTGTTTGAAAGGTGAAAATCAAATGCCTTATAGATTTTCTTTCATTCCTCTTACCAGATGATGATGTACAGACGACGCAAAACCAAATTCTGCTGCTGCAATAAGTGAGTTTGGTGGTTGTTAGATATGCTGCTTTCATAATAACACGTACAGTTGCCCTAAGATGTATTTAGACACTTAAGCCACAAATATATGTATTCCATTGGTACTCAACTAACTTTTTTTTTTTTTTTTAAATATAGCACACATACACCTGTTTCAGGAATAAAACATATCACAAAAAGCAGTTTTAAATGATAAACTACAGATATACTGTCCAATATTTGGACACATTTCAGCTGCTTTATGTTTATTGTGGTTACTCTGATAGGACATATGTTTGATCTGACTTCATATAAGTTGGTTGAAAAAAAATTTTTTTTTTTGCAAATATCACATTTTGCTAACTAATGCAATGTAAGCACATTTACATACAATTTTAAGTGTCAAATACATTTTGTTGTTACTGAATATATGAACATTTTTTCATTCTTAAAATCATGTTTGTTTGCCTGTCTATCTCTGTCTCAGTCCCCAGCAGAATCAAAAGGGATTCTACAAGACATGAGGATCCTCTGATTTTCATTTTTATAACAATGTTAATGTACAGCTGCCTGAACAAATCCTCCCTTGCCAGAACTGACTGTCATCATTGTGCAGATGATGCTGGAATTTTTTTTATAATTGTGTCAAATACTCTCATAGCCACTTTATATATACTTGAACATGCCTGATCACAAACTATGTTATATGCAACTCAAACAATATCTCTTTCGGTGTATATAACATATCTTTTGTTTGGAGGATAAATGTGTTAACAGGATTAAACTCAGTGGCTATTGTAATCTAAGCACAGGCATTATACCTGTACATTTTTTATTACAATTGCCCAAAGTGCCTCTTTATAGTGTTCGGATATTTTTATCCACTCCTGCTTACTTACCTTATCTATTGAATGCTCTTTTGCTTTTGTAAATTAACATTTTTGTTTGTTTGTTTTTTGTATTTATTTTTTTCAGAAAACAACACCTGAAAATATTGATAATGTAAAATAAAATATATTCGATGAAATAAAACTGTATGATCATTCTCGCACCAATATGTCATTTAAACCCCTAATAATAATAATAGTAATACAAAAATCAAACAATCAAAAGCTTGTTCTCATTTGATCCACTAATATCTGCAGTCTCATCTTGATTAATCATGTAGCTAAACACACAGGTTTATACAGGATGAGTAGATTTGTCTCCACTAGATAGCAGTCAATAAATCTCATGTCATTGCTGATGTTTGGAGAGAAATGCTGGCACAACCTGAAACCAAAGAGTTATCATTTATAGAAACTACAGCCTTGCTGCTTATTTTTTATTTTATCTTTGTTTATTTTTACTGATGTTATCACCGTAACAATCACCTCGAGAGCACTGCAGAGCACTTGTGTTTTTAGGGGGCACACATTTATCTTAACCTGTTTTCAAGATTATTGGAAGTAATTTTGCTAGGTCATGCATCACATTTAGCAGACGCTTTTATCCAAAGTGACTTACAAATGAGGAATACAACAAGCAATTCATCAGAGGCAATAAAGACATGAAGTAAACAGAGGTGTGATGTGGGCTCTTTTGGGCTCATTAAAGACCAGTTCTGCTGCGTACTGGGATCATTTGTAGAGGTTTGATTGCACATGATGGACGTCCAGCTAGAAGAGTGTTGCAATAGTCCAGCCTAGAAATGACAAGGGCCTGGACGAGAAGTTGTTCAGCATGCTCTGTTAGGAAGGCCCTGATTCTGTTAAATACTGATGGGAGGATAGCATCTGTCATTTGACAAATTAACAAATGACTCCGGAGATGAAATAATCGTTTATGTTTTACATCGTATGTCTTTTGCTTTAATCAAGTCAAGTCACCTTTATTTATATAGCAGTTTATACAATACAGATTGTTTCTAAGCAGCTTTACGGGGAAAACAATAGTGCCATTGTTCAGCTGAGGTAAGCTCAGTGTTGATTCAGTTCTGTTAAGTTACTTTGTAAAGATTGTTAATTATTCTATTCAGCTATAAAGGAGCCCTGTAGAAAACAGTGGTATTATCATCTAGCTCAGTTCAGTTCTTCCCAACTAAGCAAGCCAGTAGACTTGCCAAACTCCATTGCCTCTGGCCATGGTGTGGCCTGAACATGGTGTGGTTTAATTCCAAGCTGCATCGCATGTCAGATTCATCAGATTCATCCTTCTCCTTGAATATCAGAGAATGCAGAATATGACTGAATAAAGATTGCATGTGGACGTATTCAGAGAAATTAGCTATTGAAAATATAACATTTTAACTGAAATTACTTGAAAAAAGATTTTGAATGACTTGAAGATTTTCATTTTGCTGCACGAAATTCAAAGGTCAAGTAAGTAAAATAATCCAGTCTTCCCATCCTGCTGTGTAAATTACACAACACAACTTGTATAAAGACATTTAATGTATAAGTAGGTGTATAGCAACATGTATATTATGTGTTCTAAAAGTCTTTTGGCAAACACAGACAGAGCAATGAATTGTTCATAAACGACCATCACGACTACTCTGTTCTTGCGGTTTCACTTCTCTGCATTTATCTTTGAGTGATTTCTTCTATGTGGAGTTTAAAAAGCTGTGGCACAATAAATTACTCTTTTCATCACTGCCGCAACAGGACAAACTGTGCATTGTATCCAGTTTCAGACAATTGTTTTGGTGCGATACAATTCCAAATTATGGGGACCAGAGAGGGGGCTCAAGCTTGTTGACAGGGGGACAGGAATTCCCCGTCAGGTTAGTTATGTAAACCTTGTGATCTGATAACATGATCTCACCGGGCAAAATTAAGCGGACAAAATCTGTGCCTGTAGGGCAGGGACGTCCAAGTTATAAAACCTGATGAAGGTAGACAGCAACGACCAGCCGGTGGCCGCACAAATATCAGAGAAATCTTGCTGGACCAAGCCCAGGAGGAGGCCATTCCTCTGGTGGAGTGGGCCCTCACATCTATAGGGCACTACAAGCATGTTGAGGTGTAAGCCAGGGGTACAGCATCCACTATCCAGTGAGTTTCTGCTTCATTACTGGCAGCCCTTTAGAGCGGCCTCCGAAACATACAAAGAGCTGCTCTGAGTGCCTGAACAGGCCAGAGTGCTCAACATACATTCTAATGGCTCGTTTCCACTGAGTGGTACGGTACAGTACAGTTCAGTACAGTACGATTCAGTACGGGTAACCCTGATCCAGCTTGCGTTTCCACTGCCAATAGTACCCTTCTTGATAGGCGTGGTGTATGCCGGAAAGTAGCGATCGACGATAAAGCACGACAATAAGCACAACTCTGCCTCTTTTTGATAAAATGTCAGTTTTAATGAACAATAATAGCCATTATAAAAGTATAAGTACAAAGTATAAGAGGCTTATATAGGAGGAAATAAAGAAAAAAGCAAACAATTCAGTCAAACTTATGCTACAAAGTCAGCGCTGTACTACGGTAAAGTTCAAAATAAATATATAAAGTTAAACATTACTTTGTGCTCAGCCAAAACGATATGACCAGGAATAAATAATAGATTCATGAGACCACGAATGCCTGTTAAATATAGCCTACCCAAAATGAATTGTATCTCGTGTTTAATCACTACAGAGACATCAGAGCCAGCGGCAAATGTCGGAAGGACTAGCTGAGCTAAGGCTGCTCTATGCGGATACATGAGCACTGAGCGCCCGCCCGGTGATCGCCTGGAGCTCCAAAATCGGCATAGCAAACTTTCAAATAGGTGCTATCTTTATAAATAAACCACAGATTTGAGTTTTAAACAATTACATTCTCGCCTGAAAAACTCTTAAAACTACATTTCATGACACAATAACAGTAATAGGCCTATTTAGAAAATTACGCAGGTTTTTGGGCAATGACGTTTCACAAGTCCACAAGAACAGACAAGAACCCATATTGAGAAACGGCTATTGTCTGTGTGAAAATATAAAATTATAAAGTACACGGTTATATTTTTTTTGTGTTTGCGCACTCTGATGTAAATAAGCCCAACACTCATGAACAGCAAAGCGGAACGAGTGAAGGACACTTTATCCCCTTGTATCACACAAAAGCGACAATTCTAGTCAACCAATCAACGTTCTGCTGTGAGTTTAGCTCCACCCTTTTGGTACCCTTTGCTGTGCTAGGTACCACAACGGAAGGGTACCAAAAAAGTGGTATGGTACGGTTCGCTATTTTGGTACCATTCACAACAGTGGAAACGGAAATAATTGCGTACCGTACTGTACTGTACCGAACCATACCGCTCAGTGGAAACGAGCCATAAAAGCCTGAACTGGGCAGAGTGCATTGGGACCCTGCTCACCTTCTGAATTGGGGAGTGCTAGAAGGGTCATGACTCGTGCTCTGAACGGAGTGGAGAGTACTTTCGGCACATGGTCTTGGTTTTGAAGACGACTCTACAGTCATTAGGCTCAAACTCAAGGCAGGAAGCACTGACTGACAGTGCTTGCAGGTCACCCACTCTCTTGACCGACACTATTGCCAGAAGGAGGGCAGTCCTGAGCGACAGGTGCTGCAAGTCTGCCGACTGGAGTGGCTCAAAGAGAGGGCTCCATAGCAGCATTAATTTTGACAGTAAATTTTTATTTAGTTTTAGTTTTAGTCATAGTCTTTTGACTAAAATGCCATTTAGTTTTAGTCATATTTTAGTCATCTGAATTGTTTTTAGTTTTAGTCGACTAAATATCATAAAACCGAATGCACAGCTGCAATGGATGCAATGTACTGATACACGTTCTCCCTACTGTTTACGTTCACTTAAGACGTAATCAACTGTGTTTACGTGAATACTCGTCAAAATGGACAATTTGACATCATTTTGTGTGTAATTCTTCGTTCATGCGACTCAAAAGAGTACTCGCGCGCTGTGAGATGCGTTTTCTGTGTGTGTATGCTTCAGTGTCTGCGCTCAGAAAACTGGACCGAATTGAGTTCTCTCTTGCGTTGTCAGATTTATCCATATGTCTGCTCTTCTCTTACTCCCACATATTGAAATTTTTGAATGTTTTATGCGACATGCAGCAAGTGTATGTTAGCTTATGTACCGCTGGTTCATATGTACGCATCTAATCGCCGAACCACGCAGCAGATTCGTTCTGAATGAATCTCTTCCCAAATCGTTCCTTCCCTGACATTTTCATCTTGTTTTTATTCGTTGACGAAAATGTCAATAGATTTACGTCATAGTTTTTGTCATTCAAACAGAGTTTTAGTTCGTTATCGTCTCGTTGTCGTCGGTGAAAAAAATGTTGTTGACGAAAATTATGATGAAAGTCCCAAGTCGGCACAGTATGAGGGCGAGGCGGATTCAATCTCCGAGCTCCCCTTAAAAATTTAACGACTATTGCGTTTCTTCCGACTGACTGGTTAGCCATGAGAGCATGATTCACCGCAATGGCTGCCACATATACTTTGATTGTGGAAGGAGTGCACCCCTTATCCAGCAGCTCTTGAAAGCTTAGCATGTGGTAGAAAGATTAGTATGTGGGACACATCACAAGAGGACGTGTCCTCATTCCGTGCTGCACACCAGTCAGAAAAGACTAACCATTTAAGGGCATAAAGATGACTAGTAGACGAAACTCTAGCATCCAAAATGTATCAGCTACACTCGTGGAGCTGCAGAGACTCCTGTTGAGGGGCCAAACATGAAGGTTCCACAGCTCTGAGACCTGAGACCGCCTTGATGATTGATAAAGGCTACCACTGTCATGTTGTCCAAATGGACCAGGACGTGGTGCCCCCTTAAAGCCGGCAGGAAGGTTTTTAGGGCTAGAAAAACCACCATAATCTCGAAGTAATTGATGTGTAGGTGCTGCTCCAGGTTTGACCAGGAGCCGGACGCTGGT